ACATGAGGCACGGGGTTTGATCCTCAGCACCACATAAAATAAAATAAAGGTGTTGTGTCCACCTATAACTAAAAAGAAATAAATATTTTTTAAAATGTGGTACTTTATATACACAATGGAATATTACTCAGCATTAAAAGAGAATAAAATCATGGCATTTGCAAGTAATGGATAGAGTTGGATAACATTATGCTAAGTGAAGTAAGCCAATCCCAAAAAACCAAATGTTTAATGTTTTCTCTGATATGTGGTGCTGATCCACAGTGGGGATGGGGCGGGGGGTGGAGCATGGGAGGAATGGAGGAACTTTGGATAGGGAAAAGGGGAAGGAAGGGAAAGGAGGGGACAGGTGGGTAGGAAAGACAGTGGAATGAGATGGACATCATTACCCTAAGTACATGAATGGAGACACAAATGATGTTATTCTACTTTGTGTACAACCAGAGACATGAAAAATTGTGCTCTATATATGTACTATGAATTGAAATGCATTCTGTTGTCATTTATAACAAATTAAAATAGATAAATAAATTTTTAAAAATTTTAAAAATAAAAAAATGTAGTACTTAAAATGGAATAGGATGAAGCTCAAAATCACACACATAAATATAGTAAAATTTGATATATTACAAGGTAACATTCAGAACCACAGGCAAAAAGAGATCATTTATTCAATAAACATCTAGGACATTGATTTTTCATAAGGCACAGAAATTAAATTCTTACTTCAAATAATCCTCAAAAATCAATCCCAACTGGATCATGGGCCTAAATATATAACAAAAATCTTTAGATGACAAATTTCAAATATTTATATGACCTCACAACATACCTAAGAATAATTTCTTAAAACTATTATAAAAAATATGAACTACAAATATACAAGAAAAATATATATGTATTGTCATACATGCACGTGCACACATACATACACACAAACACTTTCCTTAAAATGAGCAAATGACTTCTTCACAAAAAAAGAAATCCTAATGGCTATTATAAATGGGAAAAGATGGTCTATATCTTTAGTAATCAAATTGTAAGTATAGGGATATTATTTACCTAACAGGTTGGCAAAAAATCTTGAACTCACAAATTATGAATGTTGAGCAATGGGTGCTCTCATACACCACTTTTTGAAATGTAAATTAGTACAAGCATTGTCTAATAAATTCATGGCTACACTGTCTACATGAATTCCAGCATGTGTACACCAGCAGTCATGTATAAGGTTCACAGAAGTAACATTTATAATAATATAAAGTGTAAACAACTGAATTGACCATCAGTGGATAAAATCCACAATGGAGGACATTTAAAAAAAATTTTTTTTAAATTTATTTTTTAGTTGTAATTGGACACAATACCTTTATTTCACTTATTTATTTTTATGTGGTGCTAAGGATCGAACCCAAGGTCTCGCACGTGCGAGGCGAGTGCTCTACCGCTAAGCCACAACCCCAGCCCTAAAAATTTTTTTAAAAATCAATCAATTTGGGCTGGGGATGTGGTTCAAGCAGTAAGGCGCTTGCCTGGCATGCGCGGGGCGCTGGGTTTGATCCTCAGCACCACATAAAAATAAAAATAAAGATGTTGGGTCCACCGAAAACTAAAAAATAAATTAAAAAAATAAATCTATGGACCACAGCTATAAAAGTCAACATGGATTAAATCTCAGGGACATAATTTCAATTATGAAAGAAAAAAGGTCACTGAATCACATGCATAGAATGTTTTCATCTATAAAAAGAATGTGTATATATATATATATATATATATATATATATATATATATACACACACACACACATACACACACACACATACATACAGGATATATAAATATAAATATAAATAAATACATAAAGTTGAGAATATATATACTCAGTATATATATATATATATATATATATATATATGAAAATATACTATGCATAAATATACTATTTATATTTCTCTCTATCTCTCTCTGTATATTTTCAACTTTTTTATTCCCAATTCTTTTTATTTTTTGAGACAGGGTCTCACCAAGCTGTGGAGGCTGGCCTTAAACTTGCGATCCTCCTGCCTCACCTCCCGAGTTGCTGTGTGCCACTGCACCCAGTTATATTCTCAACTTTTTTTTTCTGACTCTCATTATTGAGATTTTATTTATTTATTTTTAGATCTATATGACAGTAGAGTGTGAGTATAACTTATTCTAATTAGGTTCCCATTCTTGCAGTTGTATGTGATGTGAAGTTTCACTGGTATATTCTTAACTTTTTTTTTTTTTTTAACATTTTTTAGTTGTTGATAGACCTTTATTTTATCCATTTATTTATATGCAGTGCTGAGAATTGAACCCAGTGCCTCACACATGTGAGACAAGCACTATACCACTGAGCCACAACCCCAGCCCCATTCCCAACTTTCTATGGAAGAAAACATACTATGTGTGTGTAAATGTATATATATATATATATATATATGTATACATGCACATACACACACACACACGTGTGCATTTTGTTTTAGGATCTCACAACTATAAAGAAAAGCCAGGACATGATAAGCAAAATCATAAGATAATGGATACCCAGTGAGGGTGGGATGGGCCATGGTAGAGGAGTCATGTATCATTACAAAGAGGCCCTCAAGGGCTTGCAATGGCATTGACCATTTTCTCTCAAGCTAAGAAGCAGTTAGGTGGAGCCGAGCATAGTGGTGCATGCCTGTCATCCCCACTACTCAGAAGGCCTGAGGCAGGAGGATTGCTAATTTGAAGCCAACATGGGAAACTTATCAAGACCCTATCTCAAAATAAAAGTATAAAAAGGGGTGGGATTGTAGCTCAGTGGTAGAATACTTGTGTAGTATGTGCAAGGCCTTGAGTTCAATTCCCTGTACCACAAAAGAAAACATAGTAGTAGTAAATAGATTTTTTTTCTATTATTTAAACTATATACATGTGATAATGTATATTTGTGTGATTCATCTAATAATATTAATCAACGAAATTTAATAATATGTCCTTTGAAACTATAGTTACATAGTAAAGTTTTTTTCTTAGAAAATTGATCAAAGACATAAAGGATTGGGTAGAGGCAACTGAGAAGTGACCTGGGGAATGGAGTTGACAGAATGTTTACAATGAACATTAGTCTTTCATTTGACCTGTTTCTTATGTCTATCTGACACTCCTTCCTACATTGCAATACTAAATTCTTAGTCTCTTCTCCCTTCAATGCTTTCTAGCTGCTGACCTCTGTTTTCATTAACAGTTACCTGTACTCTTCTGCCTCTCACCTTTTCTCTGAGCTTCTTTGATGTCAGTTTTCTCTTCATATGTGTTGTTCTATAGCTATATCATATTTCTGCTACTAGCCTGTTAATTGTTTGATTATTTATACATACAAATAACACCTGAGCATCTTGGGGAGTGAGCTGGGGAATAGGATTCAAACCCTGTTTAAAATGAAAATTCAAAAATGTTGATTAAAGGTAAATGAAGTGATCATTCAGAAAAAATTAGTTTGGAAACTACTATTATTAATAGCAGCTAATAGTTATTGAGTTCATACTATAAGATGGAATTGTTCAAACCACACGCGCGCGTGCACACACACACACACACACTTTATTTGTAGATGGACACAATACCTTTATTTTATTTGTCTATTTATATGTGGTGCTGAGGATTGAACACGTGTACTGAGCCACAACCCCAGTCCCACTGTTCAAAGCACTTTAAAAGTACTATTCATGGGGGCTGGGGTTGTGGCTCAGTCGTAGAGCAGTTGCCTCACATGTGTGAAGCACTGGGTTCAATTCTCAGCACCACATACAAATAAATGAATAAAATAAAGGTCTATCAACAATTTAAAAATATTTTTTAAAAAGTACTATCCAATTTTGGAGATGATAAAACAAAAAGCACAGGTTAAAGGGCTTGGATTGTAGCTCAGTGGTAGAGCATTTGCCTACCACGTGTAAGGCTCTGGGTTCGATCCTCAGCACCACATACAAATAAATAAATAAAATAAAGGTATTGTGTCCATCTACAACTAAAAATATATTTTTTAAAAAGCACAGGTTAATTAATATTCCTAAAATTTCACTGGCATGTAAGTTTCAGGCAGGATTTGAACCTGGTACTTCATTTAGGGCTATCTGAATGGCTCAAAATCGGGAAAAGTTGTTTGTTTCATTTTGTTTTGTATTGGGGATTTAAACCTCCACCAGCCCCTGCTCCTTTTTAAGTATTTTTTAGTTGTAGAGGGATACACTACCTTTTTATTTATTTATTTATTTTTATGTGGTGCTGAGGATCGAACCCAGTGCCTCACATTTGCTAGGCAAGTGCTCTACCACTAAGCCACAACCCCAGTCCCCCTTTTACTTTTTTTAAATTTTGAGACAGGGTCATATTAAATTGCTCAGGCTAGCCTTGAGCTGGCAGACCTCCTGCCTCAGCCTCCTGAGTCACTGGGATTACAGGTTTGTGCCCAGCTTGAGAAAGATTTTTTTAGAGACTGGAAGAGGAGGGCTGGGGATAGAGCTCATGGTGGAGCACTTGCCTAGCTAGCATATGTGAAGCCCTGGACACAATCCCTAGTGCCAGAAGAAAAAAAGAAAAAGAAAAAGAAAAAGAAAAGACTAGGATAAGATTATGAAACAGAAACGAAACAGGACTCAGAGAATATTAAACAAGTTATAAGAAAGAAGAGGGCAAAGTGTGAAAGGAGAGTTAACAATAACACATGTGGGAGAACATCCTAGAAGGCCCCAAGTTTCTATTAAGCCCTAGAACATGTGAGAGTAGGCCCACAAATAATAATGAAGAGGTGATTTCTTTGAATCAAACTGAGCTGTCATTTGCAAAGGTTTTTTTTGTTGTTGTTTTTCAGTGCTGGGGATGGAACCCAGGACCTTGTACATGCGAGACAAATGCTCTGCCAATGAGCCACATCCCCATCCCACCTGCAAAGGTTTTTTCCTGCCTATTCCTCTTCACTCACCTGAACACAAGCCATTTGTGAACTCTCTCTTCACCATCCATGGCTCTTTTCCTTGTTCCAACAATAATATCACATTTGGCTTAGAAAAGCAAAGACCTGCACATATGGAAAGAAACAGTACTTGGTCATGCTGTGGATAGCCCAAAACTCAGACTGGATCCTTGGACAGTCAGGGAAGATGGAGCTTACAGGAAGTCAAAGAAAAATGTGTAAAGGACATGTATCAGAAGGACAGGGAAGATAAAGCTTCAGACATAGGTCAACAGTAGACTTGTCCACTACCAATGTCACAAACATTAAACCATTTGTTTGGCACAGCCAGCAGACACTTTTAGATAGCAGCTATCCAAAAGTTTACAAAGGTGGTAGCAAAGAGCACCTTATGAGTACAAGTACAGTTCTGTAAGGGGAAGATATCCTTACCCAATGACACCAAGATTCTATAGTTTTCCAACATCACATTACTGTATAAATGCCTCTGAGAGGAATCTAGACAATTCCACTCTTCTTGGGAGAAGTCTACAGCCACATCTCTGAAGGTCACCAAATCCTGAAAGAAAATAAATGAATTAACTTCCTCCCTTATCATACTCACCTCATTTACTCTGACCCAAGCATACAGGGTTCTCCCTTATACTACATCCTTAAATACGTCTGCCGTGTTCCCCCTGAGGGCCTACGTCTCAGATTTTCTGTATGAAAGAGAAATGCTGATCAGGCATGATGGTGCACACCTATAATCTCAGGTACTAAGAGGCTGAGGGAGGAGGATTTGCAAGTTTGAGGCCAACCTCAGCAACTCAGCAAAATCTTGTGTTGGGAGCTGCCCTGGATGCAAATGTCCTTAAGTCCTGAAGCACTGGGTTCCGACCAATTATTGCCTTCAGTCTGGAACAGCAGTGCCAAGTAGCAGTAACTTGGGTGTTACCCTGCTTGGATAGTGAGGTGTGGCTCTAGGTGTAAGCATCACCCACGGGGAGGAGAGGGTTTGAGCTACATTCACCTGTTCCTTTGTAATCCTACCCCTTGCCTCATTTGAATGGCTTCTTCCCAATAAAAGGGTTCAGCTCATGCTCCTTCTCGCTCTCTTTCTTGCCTGCCTTGCCCCCCTTGTGGGAGCTGCAGCTGAGGAGTGGGCACTAACTCAAAGGAAAGGTACTTTCTGTGTCTGTATCTTTATTTATTCCCCAAATTCACTTGGAGTGATCCTGACTAGTTTAGTCATGAGACGCAACAATCTTGTGTCAAAATAAAAATAAAATAAGGACCAGGGATATAGTTCAATCCCTCATATCTCTCTCTCTCTCTCTCTCTCTCTCTCTCTCTCTCACACACACACACACACACACACACACAGCCATGCTCCTAATCCAATCCCCTGTTCTCATAACCCTACTTTATTTTCCTTCAAAGTACTTATTTTGTTATTATTGTCTGTCCTCTTTCCACCACTAAAATTCAACCTCCATGAGGGCAGAGTGCTTTTGCTTTGGTCACTGGTGTATCCTCAAAGGACAGCATGTGATCCACATGAGGCATTCAGATACCGAATAACCTGAATCAATGAATGAATTGTTTGAAAATTTCAAGAGCTATAGGGGTTTAAAGAGTGACATCAGGAAGTATTCGGCATATTTCTAAAAACCAAGCATAGAAAATCATCAATTCTATTAAAATTCAAATACTTGAATCCAGATTTTTGAGTTTTTGTGTAAAGAAATGTGTTTTGGGCTGGGGTTGTGGCTCAGTATAGAGCGCTTGCCTAGCATGTACGAGGCCATGGGTTCGATCCTCAGCACCACATAAAAATAAACAAAATAAAGATATTTTAAAAAATAAAAAATAAAGAAACTAAAATTTAAAAAAAGAAAAATGTGTTTCTTTAATGTGACCACTTGCTGATGCAACTAATATAATGTGTGAACTTTTAATTAATTTTTGTTTTTACAAAAGTAAAAGATGTGACTATGTCAAGGGCAATAAAAAAATGACTTTTTGTTATATTTGATAGTTTTGTCTCCATTAAAGGAACTGTACCCATAGAAACAAAAGTTTCCCAGAGTTTTTCAACTCAGTAACATTTTTTTCTCAATTATATGAAGTACAATGTGAATAGTTTCCTCTCTACAACTGCTAAAGGTTTGGCTGGTATGGTATATATTCTTACCAAAATGTTTCCTTAGCTTATATAAACATATGTAGTAAATGTACACATTTATATATGACATTTTTCACTGATTCTTTGATTTAAATTAATTTACACAGTCAACAAAAATAAAAACCAAGTCAATATAAGGAGTTTAAATTCTAAACTTAAAACATTTAACCCCTAACAAATTATGATAATATAGTTATCCTTCATATTTGTGTGTTCTACATCTGCATTGGGATAAAAATATTTTTGGAGAAAATATTGTCTGTATTGAATTGTACAGATATTTTTTCTTGTCATTATTCCCTAAACAATGCAGTATAACCACTATGTACATAGCATTTAGCATGTATTAAATATTATAAATAATCTAGAGATGACTTAAAGTATATGGGAGGGCTGGGCACGGTGGCGATTGCCTGTAATCCCAGCAGCCTGGGAGTCTGAGGCAGGAGGATCATAAGTTCAAAGCCAGCCTCAGCAAAAGCAAGGTGCTAAGCAACTCAGTGAGACACTGTCTCTAAATAAAATGCAAAATAGGGCTGGGGATGTGTCTCAGTGGTCAAGTGCACCTGAGTTCAATCCCCAGTACCACCCCCCCAAAAAAAAATTTTTTGGGAGATTATATGAAAATATTATACTAATTTGTGACAGAGACTTGAGCATTCTTGTTTTTTTTTTTAAAAGATTCAAGGTTTTATTTATTTTTTAATATTTTTTTTTTTAGTTTTAGGTGGATACAATATCTTTATTTTATTTTTATGTGGTGCTGAGGATCGAACCCAGGGCCTCATGCATGCCAGGCGAGTGCACTACCATTTGAGCCACATCCCCAGCCCTTTTCTTCGTTTTTTGTATTGGCAGGTGTCCTGGAACGAATACTCCAGAGATTCTGAAGGACAAATATACTTCAAAAATCATTCATAATTAATTATCAATCAAACCAGTCTGAAGCAAAAAATAGTTCCCTTCACTTTTTGCCCTTAGAAAAACATGGCTTCTAGCTAAATAGACTAATTCTCTGATGCCCTGTCATCTGATGACTCTTATTTCCCACATTTCTTGTGCCATGGTATTTGGAAGTGATGCAGGTGACCTCTCTACTCCTCACATTGTTTCCAGACCATTTCCCCCTTCCGCCCTTTTAAAAGACAATTCATTTTAAACCTCATGAAATCAGACCATGTCATTCACCATCCCTCCTTATTTTAGCTGTCTAACAATGCCCAGTAGGTATCTCTGTCATTCCTCGAACACTTCAGCACCTGGTTCATTGTCACTCTATTCTTATCATAATATTTGGCCATTTCAATATCCATATAAGTAACTCCCAACAACTTGGTCTGTTAGTCCTCCCCTGCTACAATAATCTTGCCCTCCATACTTCCATAGTCATTTACTTTCATGACCAGACCTTATCAGTAAGCATCAATGCCTCCCTAATTTCCATTGTTCTACTCTGATTTATACCTCCTATATTTCAAGTGTTGCCCTCTAATACCCAGTCAGGGTAACTCTGAACCCACTAGAACTTATAATTCAATGATCTTACCACATTTTAACCATTCCTCATCCCACACAACCTCACTTTGTAATACAACAATTTGTGATAATCATCTCTTATTTTCTTTTTTAATTTTTTTATTGGTTGTTCAAAACATTATAAAGCTCTTGACATATCATATTTCATACATTAGATTCAAGTTGGTTATGAACTCCCAATTTTACCCCAAATACAGATTGCAGAATCACATCGGTTACACATCCACATTTTTACATAATGCCCTATTAGTAACTGTTGTATTCTGCTATACATCCCCCCTCCCTCCCCTCCCATCTTCTCTCTCTATCCCATCCACTGTAATTCATATCTCTCCTTGTTTATTTTCCCATTCCCCTCACAACCTCTTATATGTAATTTTGTATAACAATGAGGGTCTCCCTCCATTACCATGCAATTTCCCTTTTCTCTCCCTTTCCATCCCACCTCATGTATCTGTTTAATGTTAATCTTTTCTTCCTGCTCTTCCTCCCTGCTCTGTTCTTAGTTGCTCTCATTATATCAAAGAAGACATTTGGGATAATCATCTCTTATATATAACCTCAACTTCCCTGCCCTTCTTTTGATTGTACTGATTTGGTTAATCACAGCCATCTGTCCACTTACTCTGTGCCTACATCCAGCAGAGCTGAACTTCACTGGAGAAAATCACACCAACTATGCTAACTAGTTTCACTTTAAATTTATGATCACTAATCTCAAGTGAGCCAAAATGCTCTCTTACATGATACATTTCCTAGCGTGTTTGTTTCCCCACTCCTTTAAATGACCACTTGATACTTTTCCTCAAATCTTCAATTCCTCCTTCTCCTCCATCCTGACTCTCATATGATGATTTGGTGTTCTGTTTGTTTTTTTCTCCTAACTTAAATTTCTACTTCCATTCTTGTCCTCTTTTAGTCTATTCAAAACAGACACTATTAAAAACAAAAGCCATTTGAAGAGAAATTCCACAAACTCCCTTAACGCCAATACATTGACCATACCCACATACTCTAACTTGCCCCTATTAATATAAATGAAAGCTCATTTTCCTAGAAAAGGCTAGCCTCTCAAGCACATTTTTCCAGCAATTCCCTCCTCTCCCTTTATCTTCGAAATGTCCCTTTCTACTGAATTGTTAACATCAGACTTCAAAACATACCCATTGTGTGAGTCAGCTTTCTGCTACTGAAACAAAATACCTGCAATAATCAACTCATAAGGAGTTTAAATTCTAAACTTAAAACATTTAACCCCTAACAAATTATGATAACAGCTCCTGGTTTCAGAGGTTTCAGTCCGTGGTCACTTGGCCCTACTGTGCTGGAAACTGTGATTGTGCATTATATCACAGTGGAAGTGTATGGCAGAGGAGGTGCTCACCTGATGGGGCGGGGGGGGGGGGAGGGGAGAGAGAGAGAGAGAGAGAGAGAGAGAGAGAGAGAGAGAGAGAGAGAGAGTGTTAAGGGTCTCAAAAATCCCTTTCTAGGACATACCACTAATGACTAAGGTCTTCTACCACCTCCCTCTAGTGCTACAGGCTAGGGATCAAGACTTTAGCATGTGGGCCTTTGGGGGACATTCAAGATCCAAAGTATAGCACCCACTATTCTGAAACCTAGTTAACCACACTTTTTCCTTAAGTTATCATCCATTTTTCTCCTGTCCTTACAATAATTTGAAAGAGTTGTCTATGTTCTTTATTACTTCCATTCACATCCCATCCCTATGAAGAATATCATGAAATATATGTTCACAGGATTACTATGGCTGCTCCATTGAGAATAGACTAAAAGAGAATAAGAATGGAAGTAGAAATTTAAGTTAGGAGAAATATAGCATTAATCCAAGTGAGAAATGATTCTGAACAGAATGGAAATGCTGGTAGTAAAAAGTAGTCTGATTCTAGATATGTTTTAAAGGTAGAACAAACAGAACTTCCTAATGGAAGAGTTTAGCTTGTGATAGGGGTGTAATATAAGAGTTTCTTCGTTGATTTCCCTTTTTCTATCCTTGTTCCATTCATTTTATTTTAAACAGCAACCAGAGTGATCCTACTAAAATGAGAATCAAATGTCACTCATGCTCCCAAACTTCTATTGGCTCATTTCACTCAATTTGAGAAATGTTTGCATTTGAGATATTATGAAACCAAATGAAGATGTTGAGTAGCCAGTCAGATATAAAAGTCAAGTTCAGGAGAGAGGTCTAAACTGTATACAATTTGATGGTTGTTAGCATAATAGATGGTATGTCAAGCTATGAGATAGGATGAGATCATCTAAGAATGAGTTTAGATAGAGGAGGAGGACCAGCACTAAGCCCTGTGGTATCCAAAGTTAATAAGTTCTTAATAAAAGTCCATTGAAGGCTTGAATGATGTTTGGGAAAGGAGAAGAATGAAGAAGCTGGCTTGTATCTGTTATCTGAGGGAACAGGATGCCAGGAAGAGGGAATAGCAAGTGCAAAGCCATGCATTAAGAATGTATCTGGAGGGCTGGGAATATAGATTGGTAGAGTGCTTGCCTCACATGCATAAGGCCCTGGGTTCAATCCCCAGCACCACCAAAAAAAAAAAAAAAAAAAAAAGTATTTAACTCATTACACGGAAGTTAGAACTGACTGAATGGGTGAAATTAGATAAAGTCAAGGGGGATAGTCAGTAGGGCTCTGCAGGCCATTCTTTTATTCTGAATGAGATGGCAAGAGTTTGGAGAGTTTCCTCCCTCTCCCCGGTGCTGGGGATTGAACCCAGGGCCTTGTGTATGAGAGAAACACTCTACCAACTGAGCTATATCCCTAGCCCCTATTAGAGAATTTTGAGAAGTGAAATGATTGGCTACTCAGAAAGTTTCAGCAGAAGGAAAGTTAATATTTGTTTGTTTTGAAAAGCAAGACGGTACTTCAGGAAAGAGAAAATTCTAACTCACCTGGTACATGGCATTAAGAAGTTCAACAGCCATTCTTTCTTCCTCCTGGCTCTTCACTTGAGAAATGGCAGTGACCTCAGTTGACTGACATGGGAAAGGGAACATGAGAAACTTTCCTTGCAGCATCCAGAATTACCAGGCTAGACTTTTAGGCTTCTCTTCCTTCTGTTTGCAATCTTCCCTCAAATAAAGAAAGCATAAGGAAGAGCTAGGAATTTATTTGCATACAGTTTAATCCATTCCTAAATCACGTCCCAATTTATCATTTAGCGTATGACTTTCAGATTTAACAAAGACTCTGAGGAGTGTAATCATTTACATAAAAGACAAGTAACAAATAAGAGCATCAAGATCAGCTAAAGGTTTGACTGACTCCACAGTCCTCCTTTTCAACAGATCAGTCATTCCGAAATTTGGTGGCACACTGAAGCACTTGGCTAAGACACTGAGTGGCACACAATCTAGCTCAGTCCCTCCTATACCCCAAATCTAAAAACTATTACAGTGTTAACGACGGCTTCACACACGCCAGTTAAAGGCCAGGGGCATAAACAGTTTCAAACAGGCAGCCCCCCCCCCCCCCACACACACACCTCATGCCTCCAACAGTTAGGGTATCAGGGGCGGGGGGTGTCACACACTCTAGTCACAAAGAGGCCACGGGGACTGGAACCACGGAGGGTGGAGAACACCTACCCACTCCCGCCCCTTTCAATCTCACCCTCTCGGTACCACCGGCTCACCCGCACCCACAGTCACACAGACACGACGTGGTCACGCACATCGGGTGACACTCTCACAAGGTTCGGTACCGATCACAGTCTCACACGTAGAGTCACTCAGGGGACCTGGGAACGGGTGTCCGGGAGACCCACAGGCCATTTCTCGGCCCACACCCTCACCTGCAGAACTGAACTGCGGGAAGATCCCGTTCCCGTCCCAAGGCTCAGGGAGTCTCCGCCACTCTGGCCTCGCCCGCCTCGCTCAGCTGGACGGAACCCTGCCTAGCGGGCCAGGAAAGAAGCACCTCAACTCCCTCCGCCCGGGAGGACACAAAGAGGCCGACGGCCCAGTTCCCGCGGGGGCCGCTGGGAAACGTAGTCCGGGGGCAGAAAAGGCCGCAGCCTTGCTGAGTCCGGCTCCGCGGGAGCCACTCCGGGCTGGGTTCTCCAACTCCTGCCGCTCCCTGGCTTTCCAGAGCGGTGTCCGAAAGTCTTGATTTCTCTGGTCTCTTACTGGGCCGGGCACGGGGACTAGGCTGAGGGTCAGATTAGACGGTCTGGGTTTGAAGTGCGCAGAAAAGGCTCGACACACCTCCCTTGGCAACCTGGGTGGGGAACCTAGAGTGCGCGCTCGCCGCAGGGGAAGAGGTTTGCGCCTGGACCGCGGAGGGTGAGTGCCGAGTTCGTAGGATGCGCGGGAATACTCGAAGAAACGGGGTGCAGGGAGGAAAAGGGCGCAGGTGTACGATGCTTCTGCCCAGTCCTGCTTCCCCGCCCCAAGGCCTCTTGTCCCGGGATGGTTACCGTGAAGACTGGGAGAGGCGCGGATAGGGCAGAGAGTGTCACCCTCGGCAGGTGGTTTCTGTTTTTGTGACTTGGTGACAGTGGGTGTGAATGGTTTCCCTCCCTAAAAAGGCTCTTCTACCAGGTTTCTTGAAGTTTCTCTTACTGCATATATACAGATAGCAATGTCACACCTTCGAAGAGGCTGTTTCTAATGACGCCTCTCCCTCACACTCCACAGCTCCTTAATCTTTGTACTCTCTTAGAACACTTAATATTTAAAGTTCTTATTTATTGTCTCCCCTCAAGTCATCTGATTGTGCTTTTGCGTGTGAACACATGACCATTTGTGTCATTATATTGTGAATGTAATTGTATGAAACTTTGTGTTGGGATGAGCACACTACATTTCTATGATCATGTGTATGATTGTTACATGTATGTGACATTTTTTAAGCATATAAAGCAGGGTTTATTTTAAAAGGGGTAACATAGACTTATTCAGGGAGGGAGAAGAGGACCATACCTAGTATCATGGTATTCCAAGAAGTGAAAGTGTTCTACCTTTTTATATGAACTAGACTTCCTTTGTTCTCCTGCTCTCTTCCCGGTATCTGTCTTCTTCCTGCGTGCTAGGTCTAGGAACTGCTCCGTGGGATGGCCAAAAGGTGGGAAACTGGTGGCCTGGAGGGATCAGGGAGGAATGATCAGGGCAGGAAGTGGGCCCAGGAAGAATTAATTTGCAACTCCCTGTATGGAGGGACAATTCCTGGGACAGGTTATCTTAGCAATGGGTTGGAGCTGGGGCAGGTTTTTGATAGGGGTAGAGGAAGGGCTCTGAAGGAATTAACTTTTCAATCCCTCCATTCTCTGGATTTGACCCTTGCCTATCTGCCTGCCTAATTCTGGCTCCATTCCCCCATGTAATTTTAGGACCTCCTTACTACTGTGGCTGCTTCCAGCTGAGAGGGGTTGACATGGGTGGGGCAAGAATGTATGTGACATTTTAAATGTAAACTATGGGAATGTGCTGGGATAGGGACTGATTTGTGGAAATGGAATAGGAATGTTTGTAACAGACCTTGGAATTCTGCTCTGTGGTATAAGATTACAAACCACCTACTGTGTGCCATATGCCTTTTGAGTTGTTGGGAGAGACACAGAAACTTTCAAACAATAGTGAATAGGCTGGGCCTGTTGGCACATGCCTGTAATCCCAGCCTCTGGGGAGGCTGAGACAGGAGGATTGGGAGTTCAAAGCCTCAGCAAGAGCAAGGTACTAAGCAACTCAGTGAGACCTTGTCTCTAAATAAAATACAAAATAGGGCTGGGGATGTGGCTCAGTAGTTGAGTGCCCCTGAATTCAATCCTTGATTACCCCCCCCCCCCAAAAATTTCGAATAGAATATTAATGAGCTGAAGGGTAACTTCAAGAGGCTTAATAGATGTGTAATTGTGTAGTACATGGAAATATGGGTGTACACAAAGAAATAAAAAGCACTAGAAATGGCAACTATGTGGTAAAAAAGTAAGACATTGTTAAGTCTCTCCAAGAGATAAATTACTGTTTAAACAAAAATGAAAACAATGTAATTTTGAGTTTATAACATGTATAGAAACAATTTTTGTGAAAATAATAGCATTAAGGCCAAAAGAAGAGAAGTAAATAGAATTATTAACATTCATGTATTCTGTGTAACAAAATATCACTTAAACAGTTATTGGGGTATTTGAAAGATGTACAGTATAAAACATTTGAAAAAGATTAATAAAAGTCAATAAAAACACTAGCTATATCAGGAATGAAAAAAAATTTCTTTTCATTCCTGATATAGCTAGTCTACATCCTCTAGATATTAAAATAATTAGAGGAAATTACTAGCTTTACAACAATAACTGAAAAATTGGATAAAATGTATAAATTCTTGGGAAAATATAATTTACTAAAATCAATAAAATCCAAAAAAGTGACTGGATACCATGGTACACAACTGTAATCCCAGCAATTCTGGAAGTGGAGGCAGCGGGATCACAGGTTCCAGACTAGCCTCAGCAACTTAATGAGGCAATAAGCAACTTAGTGCCAAAATATAAAAAAAAAAGTAGTCTCACAGGAGCTGGGTAGAGTGCTGTAAGTCAATGGTAGAGTGCTCGTCTGGCATGTGTGAGGCACTCAGTTCAATCCTCAGAACCACATATAAATAAATAAAATAAAGGTATTATGTGCATCTACATCTACAAAGGTATTATGTGCATCTGTTTTTTTTTTAAAGTAGTCTCAAAGTATAAAATATCTTAGTCTCAAAATATAAAATAAAAAAGCAGGAGATGTAGCCCAGTGGCAAAGCATCCTGGGTTGAATTCCCAGTACCAAATTTTTTTTTAATCTGATAAATTAATCTATTATTTAAAAAAGAAAAAAATGGGCTGGGAGTTGTAGCTCAGGGGTAGAGCACTGGGTTCACTCCTCAGCATCACATAAAAATTAACAATCAAAATAAAGATATTATGTCCATCTATAACTAAAAAATAAATAAATAAAGATTGAGGTTCTAGGAGGAATCTTGTGATTTCTCCCTTATTTAAAAAAGAAAAAAAGAAAAGAAAAGAAACAACAGAGCTGGGAGTATAGAGTGCTTGCCTAGCAATGTGCATGTACAAAGCACTAGGTTTAACCCTGAGTACTGCAATAATAAAATAAAAGGAGAAAACAGCCCTGACAAAGAAATGCTAATAACCAGTGGGATTTTACCATAAAGTACTGCAAGAAAGCAATAAAACCAGCCAGGTGTGATGGTGCACACCTGTAGCCCCAGGTACTCAGGAGGCTGTGGCAGCAGGATCACAAGTTTGAAGCCAGCCTGAACGACTTATATTCTGTCTCAAAATTCAAAACAAAAAGAATTGGGGGTGAATCCCACTGGTGGAGTGCTACCCCTAACCCTTGGGTTCAAACCTCAGTAACACAACATAGACAGAAAAACAATAAAATCAATATTGTACACATTTTTTCAAAGACAGAAATCAGAAAGTACTTATTAACCCATTTTATGAAGCCAGCATAATCTTAGGTTCAAAACCTGAAAAGGAGGGCTGGGGATGTGGCTCAAGCGGTAGCGTGCTCGCCTGGCATGCATGCGGCCTGGGATCGATCCTCAGCACCACATACAAACAAAGATGTTGTGTCCACCGAAAACTAAAAAAAATAAATATTAAAAAATTCTCTCTTTAAAAAAAAAAACCTGAAAAGGACAATACAGGAAGATAAAATCATGGATCAACTGTCTCATGAGCATGGATGCAAAAATCTTTAATGGAGTATTAACAAAATGAAAGCCGTGATATATAAAAAGGGTAATATATAATGACCAGTGTGATAGGTCATTATATATTGTGACACCACTGTCTCACACATAAAGTCACCCAGAGTCCTAGAGATGGATGTCCAGGAGACCCACAGGCCAATTCTCAGTCTACTCCTCACCTGCAGAACTAAGCTGCAGGAAGATTCCTGCCCCAAAGTTCAAGGAATTGCCTCTGTTCAGTTGGATGGAACTCAGCCTCAGTGGACTCTGAATAGTAGTAAAGTGTTAGAGTTAACATTTGGAAAATCGATTAATGCAACACATTTCATTAATAGAAAAATAACCATTTTGATGTATGAAAAAGCATTTTACAAAACTCAACACTTTTTCATCATTAAAACAAACTTTCAACACTCATAGAAGGGAACTTTATAACCTAACAAGGGCTGGGGCTCTTGTGGCAGCTCAGTGGCAGAGCGCTTGCCTAGCACATGTGAGTCACTGGGTTTGATCCTCAGCACTGCATAAAAGTAAAAAATAAAATAAAGGCATGCTGTCTATCTACAACTACAAAAAAAAATTAAATAATCTAACAAAAAACAGTGTAGAAACTTACATGAGAGAATATACCTAACAATAAAATATGGACAATGTTTTTCTCAGCAATCGGGATTGTGAAAAGAATATTATGATTGCTTTTATTCAACATTGTATTAGCAGTCATAGAGCAAAAAGCAAGCCAAAGATAGGAAAGATTAAGATATAAAAGCCTAAAGATTGTCCAAGAAGAAATAAAACATGATTTCAGGAGAAAATTATTGTGTACAGCCAAGTGCTGTAGTACATACCTGTAAACCTAACACTTGGTAGGCTGAGGCAGGAGAACCACAGCCAAACTCAGCAGTAGCAAGGCGCTAAGCAACTTAGTGAGGCTATTTCAAAAATAAAAAATAAGGGGCTGGGGTTGTGGCTCAGTGGTAGAGTGCTTGCCTAGCATGAACAATGCACTGGGTTCGATCCTCAGTACCACATAAATATAAAACAAAGATATTGTGTCCACGTAAAACTAAAAAATAAATATTTTTTTAAAAAATAAAAATAAAAAGGTCTGGGATATAGTTCAGTGGTAAGAAGAGTACAATCTCTAGCACCAAAAAAAAAAAAAAAGAGGTTTCTGTACAAAACTAAATGAATGAACCAATGTATTACTATTAATCAGTGAATTTAGCAAAGTCTCTGGATATACGAGAGTAAAAGATTGAATGCACATATGCAACTGTTAAACAAATTGAAAATGATATTTTAAAAATGGTCCTCCTAAATCTTATAGATACTTAAGGAGATACATAGCATAGATCTATATTCATGGGGGTAACACAGATAAATTATATTATGTAAGACTTTATGTGGAATGAATAATTATTAAAGCATTACTCTTCCAAAAACTTCTTTTGAAATGTCAACTACTTATCATATATCTAAATAAAAATGTGCAAGACATTTATATTGAAATATCACAAAGTAATGTTGATAAAAATTAATAATTAAAAATGGAGGGATATACTCTGTTCACGAATTAGAAGATCCAATAATGTAAAGAGGTCAAATAGTATCAAATTATTTGTAAGAATCAATGAAATCAATAAAATTTTCA